TTTTTGTTAATTACAACAGAAATTAGGTGCAACATCAATAATTTATCGTTAGATCTTAGATTCGTATTTTGCTATTTTTTCATAAAATTTCAAACATGAGGAATATTAATTTAGGCGTGTCGAGTCAAACATATTTTTCTTATATCCTATCATTGAATTGAATGAGTGTCCATAAATTATATAGGTCAAATTGTTTTTCCATTTTGATTAATTTTTTATTTTTTTTGGTAAGCCCATTTTGATTAATTTATTTCCTCTAAAATATGTGCGGCTTTACAAAACTATTTTGTTTAATTTATGTATTACTTTAAAAAAGGCAAGTATTAATGATATATTTTCAAAAAAAAAAGAGTCAATATTTCAACTCAATAATATGAGAGATACTATTAATAAATTAAAAATATTTCAATAAATAAATTTTAATCAAATGCAGATATACTTTTCTTAGAATTAAAGTTATTTAATAGTTTAACTAATTATTGTATATGACTTTTTGTAACAATTGTAAATGACTTTAGACTATAGGTTTTTGAAATAGTACAAAAATTGCTATTTAATTTTAATATATAAATACGTACATAAAGATCCACGTTCAAAAATGGCGAAAATAATTGTAATCTACATAGATATGGTTAATTAAATAAATGTTCAATGCTCCGTATATAAACAATTGAAGACAAATAAGTAAATAAAAGTATATTAATTATTAAATTTTAGTGATTTAAGATTATAATATATTCTAAATTAAATTAATAAATATTTTTTCATAAATCTACTTTAAAGATATTTTAGATTATTGTTCAATGACATAATTATTAAATTTAATATCTTGTATAATTATTAATATAATTAAATTTATTAAATATTTTTAAAAGATGGGATGGGTAATAATGTAATATTTATGTAACATCCTCTACAACGGATTAGGATAGAGGATATCACATTAATTCTTAAATCTTATTTTAAATAAGAGAACGAGAATTATAATGAAATTATAATGCAACGGATATGAAATAAGTCATATGACAAAATATTCATAAAATTTAATTATACAGAATTTAAGTTTACTATTATATCAGAAATACATCATAATGTAAACTGAAAAGAATCATTTTTTTTCTTCTATTAATTGTTCCACTAAGCTCCGTATAGTCTTCAAAGTCTTTAACCATAGTGCTTTATCCTACTCCAAAGCTATACATATTGGCATGTTTACTCTGGAAAGATTAGCGTAAAATAAACACACAAAATAAACACACGTGAGATAAATCTCAGTAATATTGGGATTTTCGAACTATAACCAATCTAGACACTTTAGTAGAAAATATCATTCTCACAGAATAAAATTTATAATAAGAAAATAATATTATAAACAATAAATATAAGACCAACCTTTGTGGGTTTTTTATTCAGTCATACCCAACCTTTGTGGATTCTACCCAAACTTTGTGGATTCTAGATACATATATAGGAACGTGTAATCTTTAACTGAAATGACTAATGCTCAATTCTGGAGCGTCCAAACTCTGTGTGTTCTGTATGTGAAAGGTTCTGTATGGCGGAGCTCAAGCCATGATAAGGCGTCCCTTACCCTATAACCATTCTGATCCCCTTGTTGGTCAGTTACATCAAAATCATTCAGTAAAAGATTACATATTCCATTAGTATTCATTAGGTACCAAAGAAATTCTTTAATTTATATAAACTTGATCATTCTCATATCTAATATAAGTAAATTCATTAAATTTACAAAGCCAAATATAGAAAATAAAGTAAAAGAGTAGAAAGAATTCATAAAATAATTTTGGCAGAGTAATGGCATATTCATAGCTTTTAAAAACTTTAAACATAACATAGATAAAAACAAAACCAACATAGCTTTCTAAAATATCTAAAAATTAACTTTAAAAATAAAGGGAAAAATGAGTTGCTTGCTCCCGATATTACCTTTCCTTTTTTTTTCTTGCGATGTATACGCTCTCCTCTCTCCCTGTCTGTTTTCTTTCTTCGTCCAAAATCTCAAAGTGTATATATATATATTTAGATGTTAATTTATTTTCTTTTTCATTTTTTTTTAACAAAATACAAAAAAAATCTACTTTAGATAACTTCCTAAGTAAGATAGTTTACTTGACTTTGAGAGATGACATATTCATGCTTCCATCAGCGTGCTGATGTTCTTTCCTTTTCTTTATTTATTTATTTATTTTTAATATATTATTTCAATTATTTATTTATTTCATATATTATATATATATATATATGTATATATTATTACTTTGATTATTATTATTATTATTTTTCGAATATTACAATTTACAACTTTTTTCCTATAATATTTTACAATCATTTTATTACCGTTAAATTAAAATTAAATTAAGACTTTTATTTGATATTATTTTCTGTTTATTAATTTAATCCAAATTCTATAATAAAAAAATAATTGAAAAAAATTATAAGGAAATATAATTTCTCTTTATTAGAACCGGACCGATCATTTGCTCGGTCAAGGTACCGGGTCACTGGGTCAATGGTTCAACCGGTGGGTCACGGGTTGAACCGCATAAACCGGATATATATATGGATTCGCTTTTTCTGCAGTTATTGCAGATAAGTTTTCTGCAGTAAGCCCAATACGACGTCTTTTTGGGCAGAAATCATGGTGTTTTGTAATTTTAATTTATTTTAGGATTATAATAGTATTTATATTTATAATTTTTTAAGATTTCAATACCAAAACGACATCGTTTTGGGAAGAAATGCAGATAATTTATCTGCATTAACTGCAAAAACATTTTTCCCTATATATATATATATATATAGGGGAAGGATATTGTGACAACCAAGTTGTGTTACTACAAAGTGACTATCAATTAATCTCACTGTTAGATCGATTATGTTGATCCAACGGTTATATTTATTTCCAACTTTGTATGGTCATGGTTTCCCAAATTTAAACTTTATATTTATTTTCACCTTTGTATGGTTATGATTTCCCATATTTAATGCTTTCACTTTAAATATGGGAAATCATAACCATACAAAAATGGAAATAAATATAACCGTTGGATCAACATAATCGATCTAACAGTGAGATTAATTGGTAGTCACTTGGTAGTAACACAACTTAGTTGTCACAATATCCTTTCCCATATATATATAGATAATTTTATATTTTATACTTAATTACATAATAAATATTTTAAATGGTGTCATCTAAACAATAACCTGATGTAGTTTAGTGGTATTTGCTATGTTGTGTTTTGTCAATGCAAGGGGTTCGAACCCCATTGGATACAATTTTGAAATAATTCTCTTAACTTAATAGTTATATATTAAATGGTGCATTTTATTCAACTGAACCGTGATTTATCACTGGGTCACTACCGAGTCGAATACTTAAGCAGTCCAATACCATAACCGGACCAGCTAGTCCCAGAGGCGGAGCCAAAGCCAAGCAAGGCACCTGCTTTTTTTTTATTACTTATTATATAATTAATTATAAATAATTAAGGTAAAAATTATAATTTGGCACCACCTAATTAAATAGAACATCAAATACTCAATACAAAGTAACAACAAATCATCTAAGTGCAAACAAATAATAAGGAACATGCATAGTATGGTTATTTTTGTGTTTTACCTTTTTTATTTTTTATTTTGTATATTTGTTTTTTTAATGCTTTATTCTAATCAGTTATGTTATTTATTCTTACTCCTATTATTTAAAAAAGAAAGACTTTTAAACTTAATCACAAAAATGATTAGTTAACTTATTTTAAAATTTAGACCCAACTAAATCAAATAAACTCATTTAAAAGTAGGAAAAATGGTTTGTCTTTTTAAAGGACATGAGGTTGTATCCTTTTAATTTTTGACACTATATTTTATCAATAAAACATAGTTATAATATGAAAAATAACTTTTTTTCCATGTTTTCTCAGTCACTTAGCTGCCTTGGAGAAAGAGAAAAAATAATTTTTCATATTATAACTATGTCTTACCGATAAGACATAATGTTAAAAACTAAAAGGACACAATTTGTATTATTTAAAAGAACAAACACTTAACCCTTGAAAGTAACAATCATGAAACTAAATAAATAACATGACTATAATTATGGAATACGAAGGTACATTGAACTATTGTGTTTTGGGTTATTGCACACACAAAGAATAGTCAAAAACTCAATTCCCAAATGTGAGAACTTTTCATCGTGCTTATGGCTGTTGCAAACAAGTACGATGTTCTCTAACGTGAGATATTGGAAATTTAGGAATAAAAATAATGAAAGAGGAGATGAAAAACAATGCTTATTATACACATAATTATTATATTTGTGTGTTTTCATATCCTTAGGATAATGTTTGGTTCATTACTTATTATATTGTGGGAGGAAAGTGAAATTCTTATGTTTAAAATGTTTACCGAAAAGGTTAATGCATTTTTATATGTTGCCTTTGATATATAATCAACGATAATTATTCATTTGAATTTTTAATATTATGTGACATTATTTAGTACATAATTTTGATAATTATGTGATAATTCATAGTAAATTTTTTTACTGATAAATTTGTGTAATTATCATAAATATTTTGATAACTTGATATGACAAATTTTTTGACACCACCTAACTTTTTGAGCCAGCTCTGTCACTGGCCGGTCCGGTTTTAATTACACCGGTTAAGAAAGAGAATAAAAGATTTAAACGTTTTTGACATTTTAAAGTCTATTATTTATTGTCAAACACTGTAACGTCAAATAAACAAAATTCAAGGGTGCATTCCCCTATGCGTAGCGGTGGTTGAAATCATGACGAATTATAAGGCCCCACGTTACGCATGCAGCGAAGGCTTGAGGCAATGACGTCAATAGCGTAACGTCACCAATCGCTTTGAGATTTGAAAATTGGAACAACGCTTAGCTGTACGCATCGCTGGTCGTCGTTTATTAAATAGACACATTGCAGAATAGAACAAACACACGGCGTTCCTATAACAACCTGTGACATTTTCACGTTGATTCCACTGCTCAACCAACAAGACAAGACAGACAAACACTCATAGAGACACGCACTCTATCTCTCACAACCATAATTTTTCTTTCTTCTTGCAATTCTTGCTTGTGCGTCGTGCAGGATAACTTTTTTTTCTTTCCGTTTCTGTTGGACATGGAAAACAAGAAGAAGAGAGAGGTAACTGTTGGTGATGACGGTGAGGTGGAAGATGAAATAAAGATGGAGAAGTTTTACTCGCTGTTGCGAAGCTTCCGAGACGCACGTGATCGACGCCGAAGGGAATTGAAAGAGTTGGAGACAATCGAGAGCAACAAGAAAAAGATGAAAACCACCACCGCCTCAAAGCCCAAGTCAGATACTTGTTTTGAATGGCAGGACTTTACTACTGAGATTCACTTCAGAAAACCCCCTTTGGTTTTTCCCAATCCAGTTACAGTCGAAGACAACAACAACAAAGGTAAGACCAAGAGCGAACAACAACAACAACACGACTCTCTCGACCTCAAACTGGCTCTCTAGATAGCGTATCTTTTTTTTTTCTTTCTTAATCATGCATGCTTTGCACCTCCACCATCGTCTCCATGGAGTCACGGACCTTCAATTTTAGATGAGTTTTGTTAATTTGCTACTTACCTTAATTATTCCTATGTTAACATTGTATATATATATATATATATATATATATATATATATATATATATTGCGACGAAGCAGTTTACTTCATACATATATATATATATATATATATATATATATATATATATATATATATATATATATATATATATATCAAGTTTATTAATTATATTTTAACTCGCGTGATTCGACTGTAAAATTTATTTGTGAAGAGTCACAAATTCACAATAGAGTATTTTATTTGACGGTGAGGAATTAGCAATTTGATTAAAGGTTGCAATGTTAATTAATAATGGTGTGGTTGAAGAAAACTTAAAAACAGAGAGAAATAAGGAATATGTAAAATTGAAGCAGGAGGTGAAAGAAGAAGTAATGCAAAATTATAGGGAAAATAGGCTTTCAGGAAAATGCAGAAGTTTTTTTGCTATATTATCATTCTTCAATCATCAAAAGTCCTCCTTTCACATCTTCTAACAAGCCTTTTAATCAGGCAATACAAAAAGTAACTGACAACAAAGGACCATCAATGGTCTTAAAAACTGATACAAAACGGAAATAACCATAAACAAAACATAAAGTCATGCAAACTGAAACGTCTGCAATTATTAAAATCCATAAACAGCTTTGAAATTGAAACGTCTGCAATTATAATAATTTATGGTGACTTAAGTGCATCATCCTCTCCCACTAGAAGAAGATTCGCCCTCGAATCTTGCAACGTCTTCAGGTGGTAATCCAGGCGGCAACTCTTCTGGTACAATATCACCAAATTTCCTAATTAAGATTAGAACTTGGAAATGCAATTCTTTGACATGCTTGGTATATTCATTTGTAGTTTGGATCAATGATCGCATCTGTGATCCGTCATAGGAAAACTTTGTCTGATGTACCCGCAAGTCCCATTGCCCTTGACGATCTCCAATTAAACTTTTACCAAAAGCTAAATCTTTATCTCCATGGAGCATAAGGTTGTTATGCTCGTTGTCCCCAAATTCTAAAGACTTAGACTTCTTGGATGAAGGATCATTCTGCATGATATCTTTGGGTAGAACTTCATCTTTGTTAGAGATATTAGAATTTCTAATAATTGACTTCCCATCGGAATCACTACAAGAGATTTCTTTCACCTCTGGATTCTCGTCGTCGTCTTGCTCCCAATCATACTTATCATAGATAGGGAACTTGTCATAAATTGGAGCATCCATAACAGGATTCTCATCATCTTGCTTTTCATCATAGATTGGGACCTTCTGGTCTTCTGTCAAGTCTATGATGTCAAAGACCTTTTCGACGGTGTGTGACTCGTCGATAAACTCATCTAGATGAGTGGTGCCTTCGAATTCCGGGATCTTAATCATCACCTCAATATTAGCAAAAAAGGATTGATTTCCAGGTTGACTTCGTCTTCGTCGCTCCTGGTTCCGGTTCCAGAATCTCATTTCCTCCTCATGAGATGATCTTTCAGATTCCCATCCTTCATCTGACTCGTGCAACTGTGCCTCTGCAAGCAGTTGTTCGAGTTCTTGGATCCGTCTGTCTTTTTCCTCAATTTCAGCATCTCTCGCATCAGTATAATAATCACCATCGGTAGGTTGACTGCGTCTGCCGCAACGACCTCTTCGTCCATGACCACAACCATGACCTCCGCGATTTTCCTGCTCAGCCATCTTTAAGGCAACCTGAGCTCTGATACCAAATGATGCAAAATTATAGGAAAAATAGGCTTTCAGGAAAATGCAGGAGTTTTCTGCTATATTATCATTCTTCAATCATCAAAAGTCCTCCTTTCACATCTTCTAACAAGCCTTTTAATCAGGCAATACAAAAAGTAACTGACAACAAAGGACCATCAATGGTCTTAAAAACTGATACAAAACGGAAATAACCATAAACAAAACATAAAGTCGTGCAAACTGAAACGTCTGCAATTATTAAAATCCATAAACAGCTTTAAAATTGAAACGTCTGCAATTATAATAATTTATGGTGACTTAAGTGCATCAAGAAGGATGAGTTGTATCATTCAGAGTCAATACCGGTCAAATAGTACCAACTGGAATGGTGGTAGTTGAGTGGAAGCATAAAAATTATGTGATCCTCTTCAATATTATACGGCAAAAATGTTTGTTCTTTTATACGAGTAGGGGTGGCAATACGGGTCAACCCGACACGACACGACGCGTTTTTGACCCGTATACTATTTGACACGATCCTGACACGACCTGTTTTGTAAACGGGTCGTAAAACGCAAACCCTGACACGATCCGTTGCAGGTCACGAGTCGACACGACACGACCCGCAAAATTTAAAATTTAAAAAAAAGTGGGATTTTTTGAAAAATAAATAAATTAAAAACAATAAAAAATAAAAATAAAAAAAGATTAGCTTCTGTTTTTTGAGATTTTTAGTTCCTTCTATTCTTTTCTATACTAAACAATGATTATATATATTAATATATAAATGAATAAAAATAATAATATAATAAAATATTTAATAAAAAAATAAAAAAATGACACTGTGCGGTTGACACGCGAACCCGCGGGTTGACACGTGACCCGACACGAAAAAACGGGTCACATTTACACAATCCTGACACGACCCGCCCTGACCCGCGGGTTGACACGACACGTGATTTGGCGGATCGGGTCACGGGTCAACCCGCGGATCAATACCTGTATTGCCACCCCTATATACGAGTGTCGTATTATTTTACTTTCAATAAAAAAATGAGATTTATATTTTTATATTCTATTTTTTATTTATTTATTTGTTTCTCTGATTTAAAATGATACAATCTTATATATTTTAAAATGATACATATTTTTTTCATATTATATTTATGACTTTAAAGTTTTAATTTTCAATCCGTCACAGATCGAACTAATTGGAAAAGGATGAAGTGGTTAGAATATGTTTTTTTTTTTTTTAAAATACGGTCAAATAGATTATGAGATGCTTGGTGAGTCATCAAATCAGTTGGGCCCTCAGCCCAATTCTTTTAGTGATTCTTACGCGTTGCTACCAGATTTTTTTATGTCTGCTGACGTCTGCCACATGCACGTCATCAATGGCAATAAATTGAGTCATCTGATTTTTATTGAGAATTCAAAAAATATTTTATTTTAATTTTTAATATCATATGCAAAATTATTTCAATCCAAAAATAAGTTGAGATTATATTAAAAAAATTTATATTATATTTTCTGACATGATATTTTTTATTATTATTTTTTGTACGAGGGATAACTTTTTTACAAAGACATGGTGACGTTAAGAAATTGTTGGCCCTGTTCTTAACTTTTGCTATCCGTTTGACCTGGTCTGCTTTAAACTTCTCTTTTTTAAATTTTTTATATTTGGGCAGTAAAAGTACATGCATTTTTATACGAATTAATTAATGAAAATCGTATTAAATTAATCTATAATAAACAATTTAGATTTGATATTAATATTCGAGTTAATTAGGAATCTTTAATAAAATTCAAATCAATGATTGACTTAAAATAGATATTGAATTGGTAACTGACTGGTTTAGTTACAAAATAATAATAATAAATATACCAATATTTAATGAAAATAGAAATATACAAATATGATATAAAATTACTAATAATAAATCCATTTTAAACAAATGAGAGTTACAAACAAAGTAGAATTTGATACTGATGCTTTTAATATTTTAATAAAGAAATATAATAAAGTCTCAATTAAGCCTATTATCTGAAAGCATTTCCGTAATTTAATGTGTCTTTTAGTAATTGATTTATACAAAAGGGTTATATACTTATATATATATATATATATATATATATATATATATATATATATATATATATTATATATGGGGTTGCATTTATCATTTAACATGACATAAAAAAGTTTCCTACACACAACATTTTGTGGAGTCCACACTTTTTGAAACAAAAAAAAATTACGGCACGCAAAACGAATCTCTATAACATTACACACCACTTTTTCTACAACATAATTCTTATAAAATCCTATATATATATATATATATATATATATATATATTGCAGGAACAAAAAAATCTCACCAGCAACTAACCACTTTGTTTTAAAGAAATAAAGAAAGTGAGAGGAGTTTTAATGAAAGTGAGAAAATGATGTTGTTAGTTGCTGCAGAAGAATTTTTTTTATTATTGTAATACGAGAAATATAAATAGAGGATATTTTTATAAAGGGAAAAAATACTCTCCATGTTTTATGATAAGTGTTTTTTAATGTTGTGATTGTTCGATTTGTGTTCAAAGATTTATTTTTAATAAATATGGAATTCATCACCAGTTAAGTCACAATATAAGAAAATAATTATCATGGAACATGAAAAAATCAAAATATTTTTATAAAAGTCATAGAACTTTAGTTGTATATAATAACAAAAAATGTCTAATGTTTCTTATGTTATAAAAAATAATTTTATTTCATACGCACACATACAAATATATGGAGCCATGTGAGTCATGTGAAGAGAAGAGAAAGAAAAATATAACATGACCCTCATACATTTTTATATATAGAAAATAAAATTATTTTTTATAAGATGAGAAATAATAATCCATAATAAAAATAATCGAAAATTCAAATTATGATAAAAGCCGCTTTCTTCCCTTTCTATTTGTATACTAAAATATTTCTGGATCTATGTTATGGGCCCCTTGTCTAGCAAGGCAAAATAAGCCTTATCCACCTTGAACATAAAACCCCACCATAAGTATAAGGTTAAACCTCACATGTATAGGCTTTTGAACCTGTTCGATCCTGGTGGATTTGGAATGTCCAACTAATATGTTAGTGTATGATCTAGATACTCTCTCGTGTATATAAGGAGGAGATATATTTGAAGATAGCATATCATTATGCATTATGAATTGCAGTGTAACTAAAGTATGAGGTGTGTGTGCATAATAACAATTAAAAAAGAAAGTTAAAAAGTGCGAATCTATAGACTTAATCTCTTATTTATAGAAAGTTTTTTATTTTTAGGTAAACAGAAAGGGCAAAGCCCCACAAGA